TTTATGTGTGTGTTGACAGGAAATGGTTTGCCCATGTGGCGAAGGTTAGGTCATCCTTGCAGCCTATTTGTGTGCGGGCGCGTGCGTGTCTGCAAGCATCCCTTTGTGACCGTAGTTTGTGTGGGGACAGGGTGCTCGGAGTCTCCCGGTGGTGTCTTGGGGATCGGTGACTCAAAGAAATCAGGACACACTCTAAATTTGTCACTGCAGCATAACCCACATAATGAGAGAATACAAGCTCTCTTGCATGCACTCTCCTGTCTTTCCTTCACTCTGGCTACTCGCCGCTTGTAGATTTCCTTCTTTAAACACACAGAGACGAGCACATACACTCATGTTGACAAGTGTTAACTGTGTAATATGGAAATCAGAAGGCGATGAGCACATGTTTAAATGAGTCAATGTTTTCAGTCTTCAGCCTTTGCATGGGTGTTTTCTCTGCAGATTGTGTAGCCTCCACTCAGGAGTATTCAGTTTGGATTATGTTTTTGGTTTACTGAGGGAATACCTTCAGCTACCGTAGCAGAGGTGGTGGAAGGAAGGATTTACTTGCCCTCAGGCTACTGTCGAGGTTGCGGGGTAGTTTAAACCCAGATAAACTCTCTTTACACCATGTATAACTGAGAAAGGCTTGTCACGCTTTTTAAGACGCTATAAATCCACACTCCGCATCCCAGTAATTAGCTTTAGAAAAGTGCAACTTTCATTTAATTGGGGTGCATGCAGGAAAATTAAAGGACAAATCTACCATCAAAAATCTGCCATCGACAGTGATCTTTTTTTGTAATGGCAGGCAATATCCAAGCTAATTCTTCCTTTTCTACCTTAATCACCTCTGCATTAATGTTTTATTTACATTAACTGCTCAAGGCACACTGGATCTTTACACACTGTACCATCTCATTAGATCTGGCGTATGAGAAACAGATTCCAGCCACTCCTTTGATTTATCTTGTGCAAAGAGAGCATGCCACACCAACGTACTGCAATCAGCATTTCTTTATTTCCAATGGAAACGAAGACGTTGTTCATAATGACAATCCCACTGAGACTTATTATCCCTGCTGTGTTTTGTGTGTTTCGGCAATAGACTGTACAGACTTTTTTATGAAATCTCCTGAAGTCTTGATGGCAGTATTTTGGTTGCTGTCAGGTAGTCTTTTTTTCCTGGAGCCAAATGTAAATATATTTGGACAATAGGGCCGCCACAAACGATTATTTTGATAGTCGACTAGTCACCGATTATTTTTGCGATTAGTCGACTAATCAGATCATGCATCCATTGGACGTAAAACGTACAAATAAAATACTGAAAAAAGCCAAACAATAACATTTTAAGTTATGTATATATCATGTTTAACCTGAGTAGTGAAAGACAGCGGTGGGTTTGAAAACGATTTGCCAGGTGTCCGGTGTTCTCACGGGCTCTAGTGAGCCTAGAACCCCGGCTAGCTATCGAGCTAGTGGGTAACAGACGTCTCCGAAAATGTCGGAGCGCTTTTGAAAATATGTGGTGTCTTGATAAACTGAGCAGATATTTGAGGTTTACACAGCTACATTCTCGCCTGAAAATACGTTAAACGTTTATTTTGTCACCCAGAAAGAATAATAAGAGTAACATTAAAACTAACTAGCTGCCACCATTGTTGGAAACTGAGCAGGGCCGCGCTGGGCCACCCTATGAATTCTGGGATAGGTTGGGCCACGAAGTATACATCCGACCCATCCTTCAAATCTGGAGAAATGAAGGGCGCATTTGTCGGAGTCTTCGAATTTGGACAGCCTTCGTCGTGTCGCTGTAACGTAATTGGCCTACAAATGTGGGCAGAGGAGGATGTGGTTCCTGAATTTGGACACAGCTACGATACCGGACACAGCTTCTTCTTCTTCAGGGGCTTAACAGCAGCTGGCATCCTTGTACATGCAGTGCTGCCATCTTCTGTTTCAGTCCGTTATTACACTCTAGGATATCTAAGAGCATCTAGCTCAGTCTGCATCTTTTGGTACTCTTTTGGCTGTGTGGCTACACTCCAGACATAGATACCTATTTGAGACTTTTACTCACCAGAATTAAAGCAGACTTTTTCAGCAAATAGATCTATTGCACAAGAAATTCAGCTGACTAATTCCATTTTGGAACATGTATACAAAAGCTGGATGTAACCACTGTTACACTGATTTTACTCGCTGATTCTTTTGTGAAGCCCAGATCTTTTATTGGCTTTTCTTAAACGTCTTGGTTTTTTCAAACCGGATATGATGTGAATCCGACTGTGAAGCTGGGGAACGCCCTGTTCTCATTGCTTAAGAACTTGCAAATTGCAATCAGCATACCCTAGTTTATCCATAGGCCTTTGTACTAGTACAAGCCTTTTAGCAATGTAAGGAGTCTATAACTGTAGCCCATTAGTGATAATGCAGGTTTTCAGAACCTGGAAGCTACATCCATCTTTTATATACCGTCAGTGTTTTAGAACCAGCCTCCTGATGGGAGGAACTGCGGGCACTTAATTTTTCAGGTTCATTTTTCACTCGCGGTGTCTTCTGCTTGGTTTGAGCACATTGATTTGACTGTGCAGCTTGCAACTTTGCTTGATTTTTAAATCACAGCAATGAAAACCCATTAGAAAACAAACAGATCTAAAAAGAACATTAATCTGGCATTGCGTGCACGGGAGTATGTAACATAAGTTTTTTTCCAACGAAGCTGCACCCACTTCAATCAGTCAGGCAGCATACAGAGAAAAACATGGATACGAATCTTTAATAATGCAAATAACACAAACGTGTTTTCGTGTGTGTTAATGAGGAATCTGTTGCTTACGGTAAGAGGATATTGAAGGATGATTTCCGGCCCTTTAAGAATTGATGTTCTTTTAGTTTCAAAACAGACAGATGTAGATTCTAGTTTGATTGTTGATTTGTCAGCGTTAGACAGCAATCACAAGTTCCTTATTTATCTCAACACAGTGAGTCAGGCTTGTATTGAGTGCCCATTAGGAGGATCATGTAGCTTTGGACTAATGTGCTTGCTCACTACTGAGAGATGACTTTTCATTATTCTTAGTTAAAAGCCTTTAATTAAGAACATTTTACTCCCTTCTTCTCATGGCCACTCACTTTTGCTCTGTCATCTTTTTTTAATCTTAATTCATCGATTTAGTTCTTTGGGGTCCTCAGGGAGCAGATTAAGGACTAGAATATGTTTTTTGGGGCAACACACTGAATTATTCTTGGTATGCATGCTGCAAAGCTCCATCTGCATCCAGTTCCCTTTTCACCGTGTATCCTTGCACACCTCCATTATCTTCAGAATATTAATGTGCTGCACTGTCAGGAGCCATTGTTGTGATTGGTACAGAAATCTTTTTGCATGACTGGGTTCTTTTGTATTATCAGGCATATTGAACCTCTGCAGATCACACCAAATATGACATGATGGGGAGAGAGTGCATGTCTGTGTTTGTGAAAGGGATGGGGAATGCGAGAGATGGGCACTGAGGGTCATGATGGGGAGGCAGGAGGTGGGGTGCGGAGGCATATGGCAGTTGTTAAAAAAAGTGAGAGAGATGGAAACCTTTGGAAAAGCGCTGGAGGGCTCAAAGAGAGTGTGAGGGAATGAGTGAGAAAGAGGGTGTAAGGGAAACAGAAGGGCAAAACAAGTGATAAAAAAAAGTGGAGTGGACAAGTGAGAAGAAGAGATGGAAATGGCAGAAGGTGAAGAAAAAAGGAGTGAGGGGAAAAAGCGAGAGGAGAGAGAGATGGGTGAATGGGGGGGATGAGAAAGAGAGGGAGAGAGAAAGTGCTAGAGGGCTGATATTTAATGTGATAAATGAGTTGTGACAGTCCGCCTCAAACCCCCTTCCAACCAGCAAAGGAGAAGCAACACAGAAATAGAAAGCATTATGGGTAAAAGGATATATACGGCGTTATGTATGTAGATAGAAAGAGAGAGGTGTGTACACACTGTAGGAAAGGAGAGGTGGAGGAAGCAAAAGGACAGTTATAGACAGAATTATAGATGTACAAAGTGAAGGAGGCGAGTGGGGATGCATACATATACACCAAAAGCAGGGAGTGACGCGAAGCAATTTGGGTAAAGGACGTACAACGTTACAGAGAGAGAACAGAAGAAGAGAGGCAATGACAAAGGAGGAGGAGGAAGGTGGGGGCTGGGGGGGGTGTACAATGCAGCAGTGGGTTAATGATCTACAGTACGAGATTCTTCGAAATAACAAGTGGGAGAGAGGGAAAAAATGGAGGCGAGAGACCGAATGGAAAGACTGAAGATTTGAAGCAAATCTTGCAGCGGCTGTCTCTCGTGTATCGTACGTGCACCATGTCTTCAGGGGACACCTAATTACAACTCGTCATCGTACTGCATGAAACAGTGGCTGAAGCCCCCCCCCACACACACACACACCCGTTTTCCTCATGGTGGTAGTGGGCTACAAACTGGAGTGAGAGAGTGTGGTAGACAATGACAGCCACTGTAGTTTTGGTTGGGGAGTGGAAGCCTGGGAGATGACTCATAGGCAGGAATGAAGAAGGGAGAAACAAGAGGGAAACGAGAGGGAGGATCGGGGAGTTTTGGAGAAATAAAAGTCAGGAGTGAGGGAGAAAAGGGGGTGTGAGACACCCTATGGCTGAAGTTGTCAGTTTGATCTCCTCTCGTGAGTGAGCGTTGACTGCCTCTTCCACTTCATTCTTTCTCTTTCTTTCTTCTCCAGTTCTGCTCTGATTTGCTCTTTTCTGACACCCCTGTCTCACCACGCTGTTCTTTGCTGCCCTGTCACTTAATGCCCACGAGCCACTGTGTGATCAAACGTGGTAATTATGGCCTTCCGTTGCTGCTGGGAGAATAAAGTTTGAATCAATTAGCCATAAAAGGTATAGGCCGATACACTTGAACGAATGATTTTTACTTAAGCTTCTCTTTAGAGTGTACACATAAAAATATCTTATAATTCCATAACTTATCCCTCTGTTTTCTCCACCAGTTTGGACAGCGAGATTCTCTCAGGAGCCAGCAGACCAGTCGGTGGTGCGGGGCCAGAGGGTGATCCTGTCCTGTGTTGTATTCAACTATTCTGGCATTGTTCAGTGGACCAAAGATGGCTTGGCTCTGGGCATTGGAGAGGACCTCCGAGGTGAGACATCATACAGCCTCCCGAGGCCCTTCTTTCACTCAGTTAAGCATGTGACTAAGATTGTTTTATTATTAAAGCTGATTCTGATATCTTTGGATCGCAGCAGCTCTCGGGCTACGTTTCATGCTGCGTCTTTAGAGAAGCAGAAATTTTGATAGTGTCTGGACTTTTCCCCCCCCCCTGATTCTCCATTCATGAGGTGTCTGGCCTACAATATTTACAGTGCACATGGGTAAAGTTGTACTGTGCTATGGCACCAAGCTAAAAGTGGGACTCCAGAAGGCATCAAGGTGCTACAATTGTTTAGTTTCTTTTTGTTTTGTTTGTGTGACTTTTTCCGACAATCAGCAAAAATTGGAAATGCACAAACCAAAGTACATGCAAGGCAAACGGGATGACTGAATTCCACCTTAATGAGAGCTTCTGCACCTGCCACAAAGTCCGAGTAGTAGGGCAGTTATTGGAATAGCTTGATAGCATGTTGAAAGGCTATAGAAATAGTGCAGTGATTTGCTCTTAAAGTTTGGAGGTTTTATTAAAAGTTCTTTAAAGCCATGTGAGTCTCAGCTGTGCTTTGGGCTAAATGTGATCATCAGCACAAAACTACCGTCTATGATGGCCTCACAAAATAAAATAGTTAGCAAGACAAAGTTGCTAGAAGCCTGGCTCCAACATCATGGCCTTGAAAGGGTTTTTCAATTGGACTGGTTAACACTGAGGACTGCCACTGATATTTGTTTTTGTAATGAATTAATCTGCAGAGTACTTTCTTGATAGGGTAATGAATCGCTTTGTCTAAAAGTAAACTGGTAATAATTTCCATAACCCAATGCCACATATTCACATGGTTTTAGTTGACCAACAGTAACCACCAAACATCATCCATTCAGTGTGATGCTGTGTATGCTAAAGAAAAACAGTTAGACTTTCACCGGGTCTATGCTGTGGCATGGTAGAAACATTGTTGCTTTTGTTTCTCTTGTGGACTTTGAGAGTTTTGTTAATAAAGCCACATTGTGAATGATACACTCTTGCTCAGTGTTACTAAAGCCTGTCTCATTGTAACTGTGGTATCTACTGGTTACTAAGTGTTTTTGCTGGAGAAAATGTTGGTTACAGGTGTGCCTGCGCGAGTTTCCCACAGTGATAAAAGAGGATACTGTCATATTAAAAAAAAGACACAGATGTCGCATCACTTACTGTTTATTACACTCACAAATATCCTTTTTGATAAAGTTAAGGCTGGACCAAGTATAGGCTGATAGGGGCTCATTTCATTGTTGGGCTGTTCTCCAGAATCCTGCGAGTGTCTTTGCATTATAATTCAAAGCACCTTGAGGTGATTTGTTGTGATTTGGTGCTGTATAAATACACCAGAATTGAATTGGAATCAGATTGTTGTGGCACACTGTGTACATCATTCAGCTTATGATATTTTTAGCCATTTCCTCCACATATCTTCAGTTTTTTTGATGGGAATTTCTAAACTCCCTTGGGCAGGTTTTGTAGACACCCTTCATTTTGACTAAGGAACATCACCACCTCTGTATTATTAGCAGTGGGTGACACTGATTAGCTGCCTGCTGATTTTTATTGAAAGGGCGATTCATCGCTATATACGTAACCCTCCTTCTGTTATGAAGCTCTCTGCCTGTACTGTTTCCATTTTTACCTCACATGATTCCTAGTCTGATTTTGCCTGACTTGGGCAAAACTCGGGGGCAAATGATGCATCTCATCGCTTGTTTCTAACATTGTCAGAACTGCACTGATTAGCCCAAAGGGACTAATGCTGGGGCTGTGCAATTACTGGTCTAAACAAGTGGGTACATTTTTAACTGATTGGTCCAGAGGGGCACTGCATCATCTGTCTCATGTTGTTGCCTTGCATTTGTTGTTATTGTTTTTCTGCAGATGTTGTCAATTTATAGTGTACACATTTTTTTCTGCTTGGCTCTGGATTACTTTTGTTTCACCATTTATTCCTCTCCTCTCCTCTCCTCTCCTCTCCTCTGTCATCTTATTCCTTTGTGACCTTCCCATCTAAGATCCCTTGTTCCTTTCTTTCTCCTTTGCTCTCCTTCTTTCAGCTGCCACTGTTGCACTGAGGCCTCTCTCATATTCTTCTTTTAACTTGTCGGGCTCGTCTCTCCTTAGCTTGACACACTCTTATTTCATCCCCTCCTCTTTCTGTCATCCTTTCTGTCATTTCTTTCTCCTTCGGCCTGTCCTTGTCTGTCCTGCCTTTTCCTCATTCCTCCTTACTTTAGTTGATTCATATTATTACTGTAACAGTCTAGTGCCTAAAGCTTGAAAAACAAACCCCCCCCCAAAAAACAAAAACGTGAATGAACACTGGCCACTTAGTGCACACATACTCTCACTGTGTGTGTGTTGTTTGTGTATGGAGCACTGTCCCTCTGCCCCCCACCACCATCCCTGCTTCTCTGGGCTTTTCATACGCTTTCTCGCCCTCAACATTTCACATGCAAATGCACGCATATACAAGGCACACGCATGCACAAATGCATGCAGAAAGAAGGACGCGCAAGGTTAGGCGAGCTGCAAGGCTCAGTTCAGAGGCTGCACATGCAAACGGCAGCAGAGATCTATTTTTTCACATGTGAACTACGTCTGGGCAGCAAACATGAATTCTGCACCATGGACTAGAGTCGATGTGAGTCCTCTAAAACGTTGCTGTCATAATGCATTCATCTTTTCCCCCTGCTGGGTAAAGAGAGCAGGGATGCCACCTAATGGTGAGAATGTATAGTGTATTGTCACACAACTGGGTTGTATGCTGGATGGGGGAAGGGAAGATTACAAGGCTGTGTCTCGTGTGTGTGTTTTACTGTGCATGCGCATCGTGAAACTAAGTGAATGCATGCTTGTTTTTTTTAAAATCAGTCACGTCATGTGGCCGTGCTTTGCTCTGTTGTCCTTTACGCTGATGGTTAAAAGGTCCAATTTCTACCTCACGTATGACACATATCTGATGATTGAAATCTGCGTGAACTTCAGCAAGCTGCAAGATATTGCAGAATATGTTGGGCCCTTGAAGCATGTGACTATGGGTAGTTAGTATTTGAAGGTTCAAATATAAAAGATGAATAAAATAAAAAAACATAAGCACACAAGACAACATTGATACGTGGGAATAGATTTGAGACTACAGCTAAAATGTCAACATAAGAGTGGAAATACAGATTAAAAATGTCCCTGTTGCTTGTCTTTTTATTGTTTTCAGATGTGCCGGAACCCTAAACAGATATACAAAGCAAGCAATAATATAATATGCACTCTTTGTTTGTTGTGAAGCTATATCCTTGGTTTGTGTATGTGTGTTCCCAGCCTGGCCCAGGTACCGTGTGCTGCGGGTCCAGGAGTTGGGCCAGTACAACCTGGAAATTCTGTCAGCTGATCTGTCCGATGACTCCCTGTATGAGTGCCAGGCGCCAGATGCTGCCCTGAGGTCCAGAAGGGCCAAACTCACTGTCCTCAGTATGTTTGTGTGCATCTGTGTCTTTGCACATGACTATGGGATGCACGCGAGACGGTGTTTGATTCTAACTGCGCTCTTTTTCTGCTGCAGTCCCCCCAGACGACCCAGTGATTGATGGGGGTCCGGAGGTACTGCTGAATGCAGGGGAGTCCTACAACCTGAGCTGTGTGTCTCGAGGGGCAAAGCCGCCCTCCATGATCGAGTGGCTCAAAGATGGTCTACCTGTGGAGGGGGCTAACAGCATCACTGTAAACCTAAAAAGACAAACCCACACATGAGCCTAGAAATACTGAACACACATACACAGTATCTGCAGTTCTAACACTCCTATATGTGCGTATCTCTCTCTGTCTTCCTATCCTCCAATCATCAGGAAGTGCTTCCAGACAGGAAGCGGGTGACCACACGGAGCTATCTGCCTATCCAGCCGGTTGACACCGATACTGGGAGGAACTACAGCTGTGTGGCCACCAATCTGGCTGTTCCCACTGGCAAAAGCACAACCGTCACTCTTAACGTGCACCGTAAGCAGTGATTTTCTTAATACAGACAAGTTAGCAAACTGAGAAGAAAAATAATGTATTCCACATCTCATTCAGATTCCTTGACTGAAGGATAAATACATATATTAACAGCAAATATTGACTACAGAGACAAACACAAATATAATGACTGTTCCCCCTGCTACTTTTATTATTATTATTTTTATGACAAAAAAGAACAAGCATCATAATTTTGAATGTATACCATCTGCCACCAGATAAAAGCTTTTATAGCAGCTATTAAGTAATGCGCGGCAGCCATTTTGCATCAGCCTGTCCTCCAGATTGCTGCATGCATTAGATGTGCTAGGGCCTGGTCTTATGTGAGTCTCTTTTGCTCTCTCTCTCCTCCAGATTCACCAATAGTGACCTTGTCCATTGAGCCTCGCTCTGTCCTAGAAGGGGACAGAGTCACTTTCACCTGCCAGGCTCACGCCAACCCTCCTATCATGGGCTACAGGTCGGCTTCATTCTCATTTTCAGCATGCTTCTTAAAGTAGCTGCTACAAAGTCAAAGTGACAGATTTTAGTTTCAAACTAAGTTATCAAACAATTTTAGGTTTCAATTCATGTCACACATGCTACTCATCTTTGTGTTTTTCCGGGTTTTTTTTAGTACATCTAACGCACTGTATTAAATCCTAGATGGGCTAAGGGCGGCGTGGTGCTGCAGGGTGCCAGGGAAAGCGTGTTCACCACCAAGGCCGACCACTCCTTCTTCACCGAGCCGGTTTCATGTCTTGTTTTCAATGCTGTGGGAAAAACCAACGTCAGCATCTTGGTGGACGTTCACTGTGAGTCACACTGTAGTCATCTCACTATGTTCAATAAGTTGCGGCCCACTTCACTCACTACGGTCCAGAGTCAGAGGGATAAAACACACCGTTGTTGTGTTTCTTTTTCTCCGAGTAGCTTTTCCCCTTTTAGTCCTACTGCATTATTACTCTCTCTCTCTTTCAATCTCTGTCTCCAGTCGGTCCAATCCTGCTGGTGGAGCCACAGCCAAAAACAGTAGATGTTGACTCTGATGTGACCCTCAACTGCAAATGGGCTGGAAACCCTCCGCTCACACTCACCTGGTTCAAAAAGGGTTCAAACATGGTAAGAAGCTAAGAGCCCACGCTTTGCACATTTTCCTCTGTACTTGTGCTCACACTGTTTTTACAGGTCACACTTTCTTCCCAAGTGTTTACAAAAGCGCCCGGTCATCGAAAAGCATTATGTTATATTTTCAAACACCATCTTTTATATTTATAACTTACATGAAACTAGGTTTTGATTTGTTGTCTATAGTAATATGATTCCAATTTAGTAACTCTATCCTAATCTATAATCAGCAAAAGGTATTAATAATATTTAATATTTCAATTATGTCAATAAAGTTATTTTCAATTTGAATTTTAGAAAATCTGTTTGTTGACAAATGTCTGGTTAACTATTAGTAACTTGTCGCTCACATCTATTGTATTTCCCCCCCAAAAATGGTAAATTTAGTTGGTGTTTGCAAATAATAACCTGTATGTAAAAAATGAGTGTAGTGATCATGACATCACTCACTGGTTTACAAAGTACCATTTTTTATGGAGGAGCGGGAGATGATGATTTCATGATTTAATATTGACTTGTGGAAAAAACTATGAGCTAGAAAATAAGACATTAATACAATAATTCATTATCTGATCATTTCATGGACAATAAAAATGGGAATTATAGATAAATATTTCTAAATTAACTATTAATCTATCAATAAATACTTCAAATAGAAAAAGGATTTACAGAAAAAATCTCAATAAACTCTCAATAGGAAACCTCATTTAACCTCATGTAGTTAATAAGCTATTGGATTAGCTGCTCCAGTTAGCATTTAAGTAAATGTTTGTGCTTGTTTAAGGAGACTTAACCTCGTGTATGACTGAGCCTGTATAAGAAGTATGCAAAGGGACACTGCAGTGAAATGATCCTCTAAGTGTGCTCTGGTGAACTCAGCCTGACCACCTGTTATAAATAACGTGCTAACATGGCTAACCGTAGCATCACTTTTAGCCTCATGTTAGCTTTTGAAAATATTACTAGCACTAGCTAGCTATCGTTTTTAGTAAGCTAATTTGCTTTTCACAAACAAAAAGCCTGTCACATTTACACACAGTGTTAGAGCAATCACTGAAACATACAACCTTTAAAATAATTATTAAAATGCTCTCATCAGTCCAGATATTACCACATAACGTTCTGATGCTTAAAAGACTTTAGACAGGGTGATTACAATGACAGAACAGCAGTTCAGTCATTTCTTTTATTATTGATATTCAACAAAGTATGAAACACTGAATTATGAAAGTGCAGGAAAGCCAGGGACACGTGATTTCTGATAGACGGATCATAAATGGCCCAGCATTTTTCAAAGAATGCAAGCTGTCCAATTGTATGTTGGTATTGTTTCTGGAAATTGCACAGTTGGATTGATCAGTTCTGCAGAGCAGGGCATGGTACAGCTCAGGGATGAAAACTCTGTCTGTTCATCATCTACCTGAAATTGAGTTATTCATTATTTTGTCTGTTCCTATATCTTGTGCTGCTCAACAGAGCTGTAGACAGGTATAGACTTCTGGCTGATCTTGATGAGTGGTTGTTGCACAGAGGATGCAAAACACTGATGTTTGTCTCCTCGCCAGGATTAAGCCATCCCTCAGCTTTAAGGTGAAGGAAAGTGGCATAGAAGAGATTCAAGGAAATATTCAAATACGTTCCTCAGCAGCTGCTGATGAATTCTAAAAAGAAAGAGTCAAAAATACTTGCAGGTCACTTTCACCATTCACTTAACAGTGACATCCAACTGCTGATACATTTGAATAACTCTGATGTATAAAAGAAGATTTGGCAGATTTTTCATGGGTGCAACCCACATACACAACTCTGCTGCTCAACCGACAAATGCATTTTCTTTACAAATGTGGCACAATTTAAGGGAAAATAAACAGGCTTTCAAATGGTTTGAGATTTACTGACAATAAGCAAATCTACCAAACTCATACATCAGATGTGGTGTGATTTTGCAGGACTTAGGGTATGTTATTAAACCTTTGATGGCTAGGTGTACAGTGCTCCTTAAATGGTTTTCATTGCTTAGATTTGTGTCAAAGTGCGTGCACTTGTGTAAGTAAGACAAATGAACTGAAATCAATAGCATCATCTTTAGCCTTTCTCTTGATAGAGCGCAGCAATACAAGGACTGACAGACATAATCGCCCTGTCAAGTCTTTTAAGGCTTCAAGTATCAGAAAATTATGTGTTAACATCTGGACTGATGAGCCCGTGTCTACTGCCATTTTTGTTTTACACACAATTCCTCTTTTTAAATAGCATTTTTGAAAATCAATTCTTTACACTGTAAATTTGAAATGTTTTTTTATTGAGAGTTATTTTTGTTCTGTAAATCCTTTTTTCTATTTGAAGTATTTATTAATGGGATAATAGTTAATTTAGAAGTATTTATATTTCTTATATATTCTTTCTTAAATATCTATAATTCCTCCTTTGGATGTTGATTAAATTACTGTCTAAATAAATAAAATAAACATCACAAAATGCTTTATTTGATCTCTGAGTCTTCTGGACCTCCATATTTTTGGCCAACACCCTGTTTCTTTTTTTGTTTTCTTCTTTTTTGAGTTTAAAATGATCTGAGATCTAAGCCATTATAGAGGGAACCCTATTCTAACCTTTGCAGAAAGGTAAAGCAGGCATTTATGGAATGAATTTTGGTGTGTGTCACTTTGACTCTTTATGGATTATTTGCCAAAACTTTAACACAAGCTTTTAATAAAAGCAAAAATAATGCTTCTGTTTTGCCTAGGGTTAGAGTTATGGTGGGCACCAATGACAGTTCAGATCTCAGAGGCTCAACATGGGGCTCTTTGAGGATTGACTTGCGTCTGGAACCAGCCTCTAATGGTTATTCGGCACACTGCAGTTTCTGGCTTTATATCTGACTGAATTTTTGAGGATCAGCAGTTACCTCTTTGTGCTGTTGCTACCATAAGTGTCACCATGGACTGTTTGGTTAGCAATAAGGCTGTTTATGTTAGCTGCGGTGACTTACAGTGGGGAAGAGACCATCACTAAGACAGTAAAAGAAATGGGCTTGTTACATGTCTTTGTTTGGAAACTGTGGTCTGCCTTGGCCAAAAACCACATCTGTATAATCAAACTCGTTCAGGTGTTTTTCTTTCTACATGCTTACATATTTAGACATAATTTAACATGGCTAATTTTCAGATGGATTTGGTTGCTAAGCGTCTTCAAAACCTTTGTGATAGGTTAAAATTGGATGTGCATGTTTGCATTGTTGGCAATTTAGAGTCAGAGTGGAAGAACATGTATACTTAAATACTATCTACGATGGGATCTTTTGAGATAATACACATGGACCTTTTTTCTCCCTATACACTGTACATGTGGACCTTTATTCTGTTTATTCCTTGCTGCAGTTTTGCAGATGCCTTGTTTATATTTCTTTTTTCACTCCCCCACAGGTTCTGAGTAACAGCAATCAGCTGTTTCTGAAGTCGGTAAGCCAGGCGGATGCTGGCCAGTATGTATGCAAGGCTATCGTCCCACGGATTGGAGTAGGAGAGACTGAGGTCACGCTCACAGTCAACGGTCAGCAAACATCAACACAGTTTAATGTGTCACTGCTTGTAAACGAAAATGTTGTACTTTCGAAAAGGTCAGCGTCTCTGTAATTGAAAGAAAAAAAAATTGCTATATGTCTAAAGTGGTGGGCACTTGTTTTTGACCATCCTACACCTCCTTTTGAACAGGTCCGTAAGGTCAACAGTTAAAAAAAGAAACGAGTGATAAGCTTGGGTTTAGCGGTTTTTAGTAGTTTCTTTTACATTTTTGTTAAATGCATCCATGTTCTCTCCCTGCAGGCCCACCCATCATTTCCAGTGATCCAGTCCAGTATGCCGGGAGAGGAGAGAGAGGAGAGGTGAAATGCTACATAGCTAGTACACCTCCTCCAGATAAGATAGTAAGTGAAAGGAAATGTGACTCATTTGTGGCAAAAAAAAACCGAAGATAATTTTTTCTACATTTTAGTCCAGACCGAGAAAAACGCCAAACCAGGAGAAGCTTTGGTCACAGAGACAACAAGGTTGTGCCTTTTAGTCCGACAGCAGTATCTATTTTATGGTTACTGTACCTTCCTTTTCGTAAATGGTTCTTTTCCTGCATGGCGAATGGTTTTAGGCACCGACACTGTCCCCTTTTCTATTTGAGTGGTGACTCACCCTTAAACTCTCCTAGAATGTTCTTCCATCCCATCACATAAACAAACCAACACTAAGCCGGCCCGCTTTTAGCTCTGCGTCAGAAATCGTCCTGGATGCTTTCCCTGCTTGGTTGTATCAGAGAAGCGCAGCAGTAGTAGCTCCGCGGCTCCCCCCGCCTCTGTGACTGATCCATCCTGACTTGCGTTGCACGCTTCTAATGCAAGTGGCGGTGGTTTGGGCAGAGAAAGATTTATAAAATATAAAAGACTGGGGAAGAACAGTTGTCCCAGTAAACACCACAGCCAAGAGAATCTCCTTCTCTCGAATAAGTGGGCAGATTATGGAAACATGTGGGCTTATGTATAATTAACTCACCTTAGCGCAGTACTTCAGTGCTGAATAATACAGCTGCTTTTAGTGGCTTTAAGGTTGGAGGGTGTGCAAGATTCTCACCAGCTCATTCATCTATTACTGTCATGTCATTCTACAATGTTAGTGTGACACATTATAGCCAGTTGGCATTTTTGAAAAGAAATATCTTAACAGCTACGATCACCCTGTTGTGTTGAGAAAAGCAAATATTTAAACAGCGGTAATTTCAATTTTTTTATTCATGTTTGAAAAACTGAAAATGTAGTGTGGCGATAGCACAAATCATTAAACTGCCAGTTACTTAGATCTTCTGCATTTATTAGCCATACTGTGAACACTTTTATGTAACCAGTTCTGTTTCAGGTACCCTTTAATGTGCTTGAATACAGCACATTAATATGTATTTGTGCACAAATGCATAACTGGAAGCATTTGACTTGACTGTGATTTGATAGCTGGGGTGGGAATCATAAAGTAAGTCATAATAATATCCTCATATGTTTCCCATGGTAACGACGGTATCACAGGACAACTCCTGCTATAATGGTTGCAAGAGTAGGACTCGTCACAGTATTTATGTAACTTTATTATGGAGTGAAATGAAGTAGTGACTCCTGCACGGCTACAAAAAAATCATGACATTAGTGCAAAACACAGTGTGATGTTTTTTTTCTATACTGAGCAGGTCTTACACAGCTTTCCTGACTACAATGAATCTGCTCTTGAAGCCTTTTAATTGAATCTGATTTAGTCTAACGGGGTTTGTGCGTGCGCGTCAGGTGTGGGCGTGGAAGGAAAACGTGTGGGAGAAGGAGAAGGGGACGCTGCTGGAGAGGTACACAGTGGAGCAGAGCAAACTGTCATCTGAGGGCGGTGGCGTCCTCTCCACCCTCACCATCAACAACGTGATGGAGTCCGACTTCCTGTCCACTTACAACTGCACGGCCTGGAACTCCTTCGGCCCGGGCACCATGATCATCACGCTGGAGGAGACCGGTGTGTTTCACATATATTTATAGAACATTTTTCAGTGTTCTGGAGAAAATCTCAATGAAATGACCATCTAGTGGGAAGGAGAAGTGAACACAATTATTCAGAAGTTTCACAAGGAAAGAAGACAATGATTAGAGTATGAGTTTAAAACAAAATATGCACATAAATCATAGTAAAAGCTGATTGTGTGTATGCATATAGCGACTAAAAGATGTTTCCTGCTTATATATTAAATTTTACATGTCTTGTTATGTAGCTTCATAAAATATTTGTTCCATTAAAGCCTTGCTGCTGCAGCGAAGAGCAGACATCTGTAACTCACTGTTCCTCTCTCTCACCCTCTCATTACAGAGGAGTTTCCAGTGGGGCTAATAGCTGGTGGGACCGTGGGCTCTACCATCTTCTTGTTCATATTCCTGCTGGTCCTCGTTCTCATTTTCTACCGGCAACGCAAAGGCAGTGAGTCGTACTCTCCATATGCTTTCACGTACATTATAAAGAAAATCTGCAAATCCATTGTTTCCCATGCCTTTTAAGGGAGCATCGCAGATTAAATGCTTCATTTAATGCCAAAAAACGGGCAGCAAACCAGAGAAAATCAAACACCTACGACTTCCTCTCCACCGTATGGATGCAGGTCCCCTCTGAACTTGTTCCCTTCAGCTCACGAAAACACACCGACTGACAAGCGTGTGTCAAGCTGCATTCAACCTCGCCGTGTTTTGCTTCCAGGTCGGCGCGGGGTCACGCTGGGTAAGCCCGACATCAAGGTAGAAACGATAAACAAGGAGACCCACAGCTTAGAGGAGGACTCCGGCAGCGTGTCCACAGCTTCGCGCATGGTCAAGGCCATGTACTCGGTGAGAAGCGGCAGGGTGTGTGCGTCTGTGTGTGTGTGTTTGGGTTGGATACTGTTTACACAGCCTGTAGTTGTAGAAAAAAACCCTCAGATTAACTCGGTAACCTCTTCCTGCACCACACTGTGGCTTTTGACTAAAGAAAAACACCATGTTTTTTCCCTTTTAATCTCCCCTTTTTAACACTTTCAATCCCATTTTCTCTTCTCCTGTCACACTCTGTCGCCTCCTTCCCTTTTCCTGTCTCCTCCTTGTTTTTGTTTTTTTGTTTTGTTTTGTTGTTTGACGGTTTAGTTTCTCCCCTCTGTGTCCTTCTCTCCTTCCAATCAGCCCTTTAAAGATGACATAGAGCTCAAGTCTGACCTCCGCAGTGACACCCTGGACACCCGCCAGGAGTATGACCTCAAGGTGAGATCACACAGATGCCAGAAACATTTGCGTATGTCAGTTCAGGAATGAGTGTTCTTCAAAACGTTGGAAAAAAGTATGATTTCTGAAGCCAGATTTTTCCTTTGGGCTAATCGTCTTTTCAGCAGAGATGTGTTCTGCCTCATTTGCTGGTGGTATGCTGGGAATAGTGTAAGTGCTGTACTCAGTATCTGTGAGAATGTTAGAGTAGGATATTTAAGATCAATTTTTTTCAGTGCAGCTGGCCTTAATTGCTGGAGCTCTTTTGGTCTTTTCTGCCTTTCCCTCTCAGTCCAACTGTGATGTAACTCTTCCCTCTGATTACATAGCGAGCTGGCTGCAGAGTCATTACAAGACAAAACACAGAAGAAGACAAAAACTCCATAAATTGGAAAGAAATGTTTAAAAGAACAAACCAGGTTCAAGCACACTCTGCCTATTTAGCTGGCATGAATCATTTACACATTTTGACACTGTGGGGTTGGGCTAAGGTGATGAATGAATTTTCACGCAAACAGCTGCCAAAATGTTCTTCTGAACTCCCCGCGCCCCCACCCTCCACCCACCATGAATATTTTGTGAGGGCAAACAAACCACCCCACTAGCTGAAGTGCTGCCTCGGATCACTTTGAAGAAACAGAGACATGAATCCGCCCCAGGAGGTTGTTAGATCACCCCGACAACTGCCTCAGCCAGACTGCTTTTTCAAAAAATTTTGTTCTTCCTGCTGCCTGAAGCAGCAAAACAGTGAAGCAAAGTTGGGTGGGAGAGAAGTCTGAAAGACAATGAAATTGCAGAAACATGTTAGATTGAGCTGAAGAGCAAATTGCGATGTAGTGAGCAAGGAAAGCATCGTTTCATTTTTAACGCAGGCATCCTGGGGTCAGCCCTGCGTGTTGTCCTGCTGCTCATGGACGCTTAAATTCAGCAAGAATCAGAATTTCTTCTTATTGTTAACTTGACTAATCTGGTCTCCTGGGATACAAAATACACAATAAGAATACCTGCCAAATAAAAGCCCAAATTCTGTATATACACTGGAAAGTTGATATCTCTGTGAGCTGCTAACAGCAGTTAAAAACATCCAGATATAGACGGTGGAGAGATAATAGCACTAAAGCTACTAAACCTTTAAAAAAATGATTCTTATGGGTTGTCTTTTTTGGCAAATGAAACTTAAAATATAAGCACATGGAGGTGAGAGAGAGTCTGTAAACATAACTGTAGAATAATGTACAAATTATACAGTTATTTGCAGTTTTATCATCGGTTCGTTTTTGACAAATTATTGATATTTCATTTTTAAATGGCCCAGTTATCGTCAGTTCTTTAGGACACCGTTAGTGTAATGTGCATTTTCTTGTTATTTTATATTTGAGTGAAATTCATAACAATAAAACAAACGGTGAAACTCGTGTGTTTCTGTTAGCAAATATTTGAACTGAAACTAATGAGATATACTCAGTGTACTCTTACATGCTATCCTCTTCCTTTCTATAATAATTTTGACCACTGGTTAAATATTGGTTACACATTTTTATGTGCATAATTTCCAGCTTTTCATTAAAATTATTACGCATGCAAATAAAAGTCTAAATGTAAAAACTGACAAGCAGGGTGACACGATGTCACGGTTCTCTCAGCTGTCGGGTTTGATAGGGCCGTGCTGCAGACGAATCATGCAGGGTGCTTTAGCCTTGAGTGTCATTTTTGAAGACTCCCAAGAAATCGATTTGCACTCATTTCTGCAAAGGACTCGAGCAGCTGAGTCACGATTAAGGAGCAAACTGGCCACACAGCACGATTTTAATGAATCTTCACCTTGATGTTAAACAGCTTAAAACTTGCGGTTAGCCCTGACCTCTGACCTTCCACGACTACAGAAAAGTCTCTGAGAGAACAGAAAGGAACATGATTTACTACAGAGACCTTTGAACTTTGCTAAATTGTTAAAAAATCATTAAAAATAAACTCTCTGAACTCTTTTTACTCATTCTTTCTTTTGTTTCCTGCTGTCTTGTTTCTCTCTTCAGGACCCCACCAATGGCTATTACAATGTGCGAGCCTCCACCCACGATGAAGTCCGTCCTGCCTCCCATTCCACCATGCACTACTCTGACTACCGCTCCCCCACGGGAACACCAGGGGGAGCTGCATCTATCAGCAGCAGCACCGGTGGCTCAGGTGCCACAGCCAGCGGAGGAGCCCCAGGGCCCCCTGGCCCCCTCACGTCACCCGGACGCCCACAAGCCTGCTACGACCCGCGACCGCCTTCCAGACTGTCCCACATCAGCTACGCCCAGTTCAACACCTTCACCCGCGGGGGCCAGAGCCAGCAGCCCCCGGCTAACCCTGCCCCTGCCACCAGTGAATTCCCTGGAGACTGCAGCCTCTTGGACTCCACTTCCCAGCTGGCCTACGACAACTATGGATACCCCTCGCACTACCAGACCTACCGAATGGGTTTTGCACCATCCAGCTTGGCTCCTCTGGAAGCCGGCCCGTCTTATGAGATGTACGGGGTAGGATCTGGGGTGGGCAGCCCTGGGGTTGGGGTTGGCCCAGGAGGCCCAGCTCCCTCGGGATCAGAGACTGGACTAGGAAAGTACGGCAGCTCCACTCGCTTCTCCTACACCTCACAACACTCTGACTACTCCCACAGCCGGCACACACAGCGGATGCAGACTCACGTGTGAGACAGAGATGCATACCCGCCTCACAGTCTTAGCTGCGCATGAGGAAGCATCTTATAAATAGAGTCACACCTGAAAACACTCAGTCACAAATTGACATGCACACATTATCACACACTAACATGAACACACCCTACTAAACACAAACACAACTACAGAAGACAAAAAAAACATGACACACACACACACACAGGCACAAAGTCAGACAACCATGCCCGTGAGACGGAGGTAGGGGAAACAAGCAAGGAGCGAGCAAAAGAGAGGGTGGATAGGAAGGAGCTTAATGAGACAGGGAAGGGAAATTCCACAGTCTGGAATTCCCTCACTCCCGATGCGTTTGTAAATCTGAGCTCTGAAAGAGCGGACGGTGCAAGTCACAATCAAGATGGGTAATGAGAGCAAGAACCCGAGAGAGGACAAGAGATCGCTGATCTTTGGAGCCCATAGCCTTTGCTGTGAACTGACGTTGTAAAATGATGAGAGAGCGTCTTAAAAGCAAACTGAAAAACATAGTACAAACTGATCGGAAGAAACCTCAACCGGTGGAAGTCATTCCTGGCCGTCATTTTAACTTTCCTTTTTGCTGGTTGACTTATTCAGTGATCATAGAGCACATATACATAGTAGCCCAGCGCGCCCTTGTGTACAGTGGCACTTGGCCGTCATGCCTGTCAGGCAGGGTAGGGGACTGTTGGGCTGGGGAGGGGCGGGGGGGCTCGGGGGGGTTGTCGTCATTTTGCACTGCATCAACAGTATTCATGCTTAGACGTCTTAGACATCTATATCTGTGTTATGTCTTCTTTTTATTTGCACACAAGACTAGAGCTTTGTATTCTATTTTTTAACATTACAGAATTATTTTTGTCAGTGTAAAAACATGTAATGTGTACGTACGGACCAAAACTTTGAACGAGAGCGCACGTAGCTCGGGCCTGAGGGAAATCCACTGAGACAAGAGTGCCAACAGAAGAGCCTGAATTCAGGTTGTGTTTCACATCAGAAGGCTGTATCAGTGTATAAAAGAAACCTAGTGCCAAGTGTTCATGTTGTTCTTCACCTTAGACCATGTATATGCAGTAGAAGCTCCTACTATTGGCGGCTGTTGCTTTACAAACCAGGCTTGGGGGCCTTGAGTCATTCCCAGACAGTTTTTTGTAGGTTGGAGCCTTTATCTCCGAGCTCCGAACTACAAGCCTGGTGCAGACGGAGAGAGAAAACACAGATGTTGGGTTTAGAGTGGCCTTATAGAGGAACATGTCATACATTTCCATTTTTGAATCATTCCTCATCGTCCGTCTGCCAAAAATGGCCAGAGGAGAATGTGTAAGGAGAGGTTTAATGAAGGCTTGTCCACAATATTGACATGTAGTAGTGTATGACTGTGAGCGTGTGGGCGTGCGAGTGTGTGTGTGTGTGTGTGTGTGTGTGTGTGTGTGTGTGTGTGTGTGTGTGTGAGAGAGCGAGAGAGAGAAGGATCAAGGGGGAGTGCGTGGGCGTAGGCGCGCACATCGATTTGTACAGCGTGTTTGTATAGATGCGTGAATGACTGCGCGTGTACGGGAAGCATACTTTAAACACGCGGCGCCCCAATCGGAGCGCTCGCGTCACTATTGTATGCACTTGCGTGTGTGCATGTCTGTGTCTAAAAGTGTGTGGGTGTGTGTGTGTGTGTTTAAAGTATACGTCCATATCATTTCTCTCACAATCCTGTTACAGTACTTTTATACCTCTGGTAGGACTGTATCCTGTATTATTGTGTCTTTGAATTTAGAAAAATCCAATGTTTATCTTATTGTACTGTTCTTCGTAGCAGAGAAAACTGTTCAAAAGATGTACAACGAACGTTATCAAACTCTCATTTTTTAATTTCATTACCTTCAATATTTTTTAAAAATGGTATGTAATTATTTTTCCACAGTATTACATAAATAAAAGCACTGTTTTTTATAAAGTGTGGCATTTGTCATCTTTGAGTAGGTGGAGATTTTTTTTAACATGCACTGCTGGAGCTTCAATTCTTCATTGGAGAGTCCATTATAAGTCTGTAGTATGTTTATAGATGGCAGTAGAAAGTGTTTTAGAAAAATAATAATAAACTTTTAATACTTTATCTAATTTTGGGGTCCTAATTTTGGCTGGTTTTGTAAAAACATTGAGTAAGTTCAATAGCCTGTGATTCTTTTTACCTTCCACTGCTGTTTTATATCCAATGTACCTGCTAGAGGTTACCAGCATGGGGGTAATCATTCAAATTCTTCCCATATTTATTAGGATCTAATTATAGTTAAGTTTAAATACAACCAAGACTGCACATGGATTATTGACTGGATGCACCATTGTATGATAATATAAGTGCAATATCCATCCAGGACAGAGAGACAGACAACCATTCAAGCTTGTATTCATGCCTGTGGTCAAATTAAGAATAACCAATTAACTATTAGTATAACTATTAGTAACTAAATGATGGATTGGGATTAAATAAGTTTATGCATCTTCCTGTTCCTTTATTAACATGTAAGTTATTTATTATTATTAATGTTTTGTTTTCCTTTTGATTTGCTTTTTTTGTTTGTCTTGTTTTTCTGTTTTTGTACTATTTTAACATGTTCAAAATAAAGATACAATACAAATTAACCACCTGCATGTTTGTAGACAGTGAGAGCAAGCCAGAGTACCTGGGAGAACATGCCAAATCCACTTAAAAGACCTCAGTGAGAATTATTGATGTAAAAATGTAAGTTATGATATTAAATTGTTACTTTCATTTTATATATATATATATATATATAATATTAATAATTCTTTATATTTTTAAATCTTCGTAGACATAAAAATAGAAAACAATGAATTGAACTACATTTACCGACAGGTGGCAGACACGACACCACGACTACAGAAGAGGAAACTCTCCTACGTCACTGGCCGGAGGTTGTCTAACAGCCAAGATGGCGGCCACAATGTTGAGGTCGCTTAGCAAACTCGGACGTCCTTCAACAAAATTGTTATTAGGCCATAATGTGCTGAGCCCTGGCTGTGCGCTGCTGCAGAACAGGTATGATAGCAAAAAGACAAACCGTGACTCCACGAGTTATCTTTGTCCTCATGACGGTCTTCGCTTAGCTCCTCACAGATGTGCATGCCGAGAGGCTCATGCTAGCAAAACGCTACATAATCCGGCTTTGCTGCTATAAAACATCGCAGGGCTCGCCCTGTGCAGTTTAGTAGTATGAAAATAAATGAAAAACATATTTATTGGCTGCTTGGCTATAACGAGTGCCCTCAGCAGCTTGTTTAGAGCATAGGTCCGCATCTCCCACTGTCGGGTTAACTGGAGATCTGCTGTCAGCGTGTGTCAGTGTTTACTACATCGGTGTTTCATGGTCAGTGAGGTCAAAATGGTTTTAACGCATAGACAGAAAATTAAAGGTTTTGGCACAAGGATGAAAATAAATAGATAATTTGGATGATTTTGGAGGTGTAGTACGCTATGTTTAACTCAGCTCAGGGCTTCAGAAGGTCTCTGAACCAAATTCAGGGGGATATAAACCTGTAACTAGCATTATGCAATGCTAGTTACTGACATATTTATGCCTCTGTATATTTGTAATATTCAGCATTAATACGTGCTATTTTATTACCGTGGCTGTATGTTACAGGACTCATGCAGTGCTGTCAAAAACATGTACATGCTTACTACTTCTATAGGAGTTAGGAGGGCACAGAGCAGCCAGATGGTGCTAATCAAATGCATTTGAATAACTGATCCGCAAATGTTACCAAACTAGCTGTTTGCTAGTTTTAGAGCACTCAGGTGTGTGTTAATACAACGCCACATTCTTTCCAGGGGTGGAAATCCCAACGAATGCAATCCACGGTCAGGCTGTGCAGTGCTCAGAGGAACTGGAAAATCCCAAGAGCTCCATCTTAGACTGTACAGGCCTGAGTTAGCATGTTAAGTGTTTAAATTCATGACAGTTCCCAGAGAAAAAGTTTGCAAAGTTGCTTCTGAAACCCCCCACAAGATTTAATTATCATTTAATAATAGTATGTAAGTTCACGCACAAATCAGTGATTTGCTGAATGACATCACTTACAGTTTTGGCATTGTCCCACATATTCTGGAGGATCTGTGGTTTTTTTCTCATTGCATTGTTGCTCTCATGCAAAGTCTTTGGAAGGCTGTACCTTTTCTGGCTTCCTTTTCGTACACAGTTGTTTCAGTGTCTTCAGGCTTCTTTCTTGCATTATTACCACTTTTTCCACTTTACCTGGAGCTCAGCGTATTTCCTTATGTAGACATGGGGCCTTGGCAGTATGCAGAGTGCACAAGCCTGCTGGTTCAGAGTGATTCTGATTTACTTACATACACACAATGGCAAGACCAAAATAGGCCGGTGCACACATTTCATAAACCTGGTGGTAGTTTTGAGTGTGTGTTTGTTTTTGCGTGGGATAAGAGTGTTTCCATACGTACTTATCTGCCTTCACACACATATGAAATTCATCAGGCTTTCCGCAAGGTTTAAGAGTGTGTTTATGGGAATTTTTGATCATTTTGTCACAAGTACATTTGTGAGGTCATGCACTGATGTTGAACGAGAAGGCTTGGGTTTCAGTCTCTCCTTTAGTTCATCCCAAAGATGTTCTATCGGGTTGAGGTCAGGATTCTATCCACGCCAGTCAAGTTCGTCCACACCAAACTCACTCATCCTTGTCTTTATGGACCTTACTTTGTGCATTGGTGCACAATCATGTTGGAACAGGAAGGGGAAATCCCCAAACTGTTCCTACAAAGTTTGGAGCAGGAAATTGTCCAAAATGTCTTGATATGTTGAAACATTAAGAATTTCTTTCACTGGAACTAAAGGGCCGAGCCCAACTCCTGAAAAACAACTCCACACCATAATCCAGTGCAGTCACACAAGTACCGTTCTCCGGTCAACCACCAAACCCAGACTCATCCTTCAGATTGCCAGACAGAAGTGTGATTGGTCACTCCAGAGAACACGTCTCCACTGCTCTAGTTTCCAGGGATGGAGAGTTTTATACCACTCAATGCAGCTGCTCGACGATAAAAACCGATTCCATGAAGGTCTTTACGCACTGTTCTTTAGCTAATCCGAAGCCCATTGAAGTATGGAGGTCTGTAGAGATTCGCTCTGCAGAAAGTTGGTGACATCTGCACACTCTTCAGCATCCGCTGACTCTGAATGGATGAGTGAAAACTTAAAATGAGTAAATGAGGGATAGCTGTTCCAGTCGCAGAAGTAAATCTACAAAGTTTCAAAGTCCAAACCTCAACCTCATTGAAACACTGTCGGGAGATCTTAGGAGAGCCTGCAGACCTCAATGATCTGAAGCCGCATTGTAAAAAAAAAAAAACTTGGCCAAAATTCCTCCACAATGACACGAGAGACTGATAAAGTGATGCACAAAACAATTACTCGACCTAAGTTCTGCAAAAGGTAGCCCTCCAAACTACTGAATCATTGACATATTTTGTTTTTCACGAAGAAAACTTTCCATCTCTGCATGTTTCCTTGATGAGCTACTTCTAACGATCAGTCCTCAGGTTGGCAGGCTCAGTTCCAAGTAACATCTGATAATGAGGTTAAGGCTTTAAGCAGCGCGTAGGTAGCCTGAGGCACCACCTTTTTGTACTGCAGGATCGTGTTAGCACTGATAAAGGTCGCCACCCAGCCTCATACCTACATCGCCTTAAAAATAACCTTGCTGTGTTTCACAGGCAGAAACAATGGCAGCCAGATGTGGAGTGGACGGAGCAGTTCGCTGGTGCAGTCATGTACCCCACTGCTGTTAATGAGAAGTGGACACCGCCCCCGTGGAATGGTAAAGACTGCTGTTCACCAACATCTACTCGTTTCAAATATTACTTTTTTCTTTTAATTGTAACTGAAAGGGAAAATAATGAGCTGCCAAGACTGCGGGAGAGTTGAACACAGTCCAAGTCTAAATGTATCATGTCAGCCTTTGGCAGAGACAGAACGGTAAAACGTTTGACTTATTTCCATTTTTGTCCTCTGTGTTTTCTGTCTGCCAGCCTTCATTAAGATGGGAGGCAGGTATTCAGTGTCTGACTTACGCGTTTCTATTTCCACAGTGCACTTGATTTAAGATGTGCTCATAGTTTGGGCAGCTTGTTCCGCATTATGGTTATTTGTTTGATGAAAACAAACGTGCTGGTCTGTCAGACTGGTCGAACTTTAGTTTGCTGTTTTGTGCTCTTTGTTTTTCAGACAAAGATCCTCCTGCAGAGAAGGAGGTGTCCAACCTGACGATTAACTTCGGCCCTCAGCATCCTGCAGCTCACGGTGTGCTGCGTCTTGTGTTGGAGCTCAGCGGGGAGTCTGTCAAGAAATGTGACCCACACATTGGCCTGCTGCATCGTGGCACAGAAAAGCTAATCGAGTATAAGACATACCTGCAGGTACTGAACAATGGGATGACTTAAGTGGTCTTTGTACTCGCCAACTTCCAGCCATTACATACCTGTTAAATTATTTTGTATGCATGTAAGTGTAGGGGCAGTTTGTATTATTTTTGTAACCATCCTCATTTAAATAAAACACGTTCTGCTGCAGGCTCTGCCCTACTTTGACCGCCTGGACTATGTTTCCATGATGTGTAATGAGCAAGCCTACTCTCTGGCTGTGGAGAAGCTGCTCAACATCCAGGCCCCACCCCGTGCACAGTGGATCAGAGGTACTGAGCATGAGTGGTCAAATATGAAAACTCCTGAAGAAAAAATATTTAAAAAAACATTATTCTGGAAGTCTTATTTAACCACTATTAATGCCAAATTTGCATTTTATAAATTATTACAATTTGTAATAATTTATAAATTATTATATTATTATATTATTATTATATTATTATAATTTTTTTATTTAATTACAATGTAGTTTG